AAATAAGTAGAAATTAGCTAGAAATAAGTAGAAATTAGCTAGAAATAGCTAGAAATAAGTAGAAATTAGCTAAAAATAGCTAAAAATAAGTAGAAAATAAGTAGAGATAAGTAGCCTCAACATAAGTACTATAAGTTCATAAGTTACTTCTTAGTACCATAAGTAGGACCCCGGTACTTATCGAACTTATAAGTTAGAAGGTGAACTTATAGAACTTATAACATAACTTAAAGAACTTATAGTGCAACTTCAAGTTACTTGTCACAGCTCAGCTAGCCTCAAGTACCAAGTAGTCACGAAGTATGATTTGCTGTTCTTTTACTTGTACATTCCAAGCCACATAGCTGCTCCCAGGGTTCTCGGCAGCCCTTGAAATTTTGAATTTCCATCGCTACTGTCTGCATCCAACCACTCACGAATGCCCTTTTTGTCGCTCTCCTCAACTCGACGAAGATCCACATCAATCTCGCGGCCAGCATCAGGCTCCGCACTTGCTGCCTCATCTCCACACTCAGCCTCATCTCCACGCTCATCTGCTTGGTCATTGGTCTTCATGGCGCTGATCTCCTTGATTACATACTCCCCACACCTTGCATCTGTCCTGGGAATTTGCAGTGGGGGAGATGGGCTATAAAATGAGGAAACCAAACCTCCTAATCTCACATAAAAACAAAATAAATTATATAAAACAAACATCTCAAAACATATCATAATATATCATAACATAACATCTCAAAACATCTTCAAATACCTCTATATATAACATTGTCATGAGGCCAAGGCACGAAGATCGGGCAACTTCTTCCTCAGGCAGGGTTTCATCTTCATCCTCCTCGTGGTCGGCAATGACTTCAGCTGTTGATTCCTCTGAGAACCAGAGACTTTCAACAGATTCCTCGTAGTACTGCCGGAGGCTATCGGTTTCCACATTGGCTGCCCAGCTAACTAGCTCAATGGCTGCATCATACGCAGATTGCGCGGCTGCCTTGAACTTTTGCTCGGATAGCTTGGGCGCACGCTTCGGGTGGTCAGCTCTGGTCTTCTGGGATTTGAACTTGTTCTCAACCTCTTTAAGCATTCTCTGGGCAGAAAGTCTGCAGAAGGCCTCCACTGACATCTGACTCTGAACAGAGCGAAGCTGGCCAAACATCTGTTCGATTGATAGCTCTGACAGCCTAGCTTGCCCGTGAGCCCACGGCATGAAATTGTCCTGCACAAGGACCAATCAGATCATATAGCTGTTATCTATTTTTACATCCTCGGCAAACCTTGCCATAAGTTGCATCCCAACAATATCCTATGAATTGAGTGGGCCTGTCCCCCCAACTCCCAAAAGAATAGGTGCGTGTTTGTTTCTTTTCTTTAACCGCTTCACTTGCTATCATTGCCCCTATCGCTGCCCTAGAAATTGACGTGACTGGTCCCCCCAATCTACATATAAAATCAGTGATTTTATATACAGTATATATAAAATTTTAGGGCTTACTGTTTATTAATAGGTGGACCGGATTATTCAGCAACTGGTTCACAAAAGATCCTCTTTGGTCAGCAGCAGCACGACAATGCTGAGAGAAAGACATTGCAGGTTGGAAGCCGTCTGAGAACTCATGCTCATGGATCCCACCTTCGAAGACGTTTTGGCCTCCTGGCGGGCAGAGCAAAGCCGCCACAAATCCCAAACCAGATAGCCTGTCATGGCCACCTCGCAACGCTGGGCCACATCCATACCCTTGTGCAAGCAGGGTGCAAAGGTCATGGCAGTTGAGACTGACCATAACAGCACTCCTCTGGAGTGCCATGGTACCTGTAACATCTCGATAGGTCCGTCGACCTGTGCCACGCAGAAGAACGGGTTCGAGAGTAGCGCCTGCAGCGCGTCGGATTGGCTGTCAGCACGTACAAATGCTGCAGCCGGTAGACCATGCCCACGCGGGCCAGTGAAGTCTGTCCACACAAGCCCAAAATGCAATGTGCGGACTGGCGATGTTGCTTGGCCGCCAGCATTCTTCGCCGCGTGGCCTGCAATCAGCATAAACAAATGATACATGATATATGGAGACATTCAAAAGGTTGGCCAGAAAGAACAAGCAAACAAATATCAAAATTCATCAAAATTCAAAAGCCATGGATAGCCATGGTGCAGCATCCTGGGAATGCGTGGTAGGTCTCTTCATCCACGAAAGCGATGCGTGCTGGAAATCGTGGGAGGCAGTGATCTGGTAAGTCCATGTACCGAACTCGAGAAAAGAATTTCAAATCGGTGTTCTTGAGGAGCTCTGTATCATCTGCACTGGGATCTCCGAGCAAAATCCTCCGCACACACAGGTGGGAACCGTGGGCGTCAAAAATGAGACCCTTGACGAAGGGGTGGGCAAACTCCATGAATGCGTCAATGGTCTGGAGTATAAACTTTGAATCCACATCGCTGGTAGCCACTGGTAGTTCGGCAGCTGGTAGAGCAAGTTGAGTAACTGCTGATGGGTCCCAGACCAATTTCTGCAGCCTTGTAATCAAAGTTTATGGTTCTTGAACAACAATGTTGCATATATTAATCTAAAATATAAATATAAAAGATCATAAAAGGTCATAGACGATCAATGACGATCATAAGGTTCATAGAGGATCAGAACGCTTTGTAACCAACCACAAACATGGTGTATAAAATGGCTTTCCCCAACCAACTAACCCTTCATATATCTGCTTCCACAAAACCACCAGACAACAAGGAACACCCCCGAAAACATATGAAAACATCCAGGGTGATCCAGGGAACATGTCGGTGGCCTTCTTCATACTCCGGAAGTCAACCCCATCAGCTATCTGCAGTCGAGCATTCCCCGGATTCTGAGGTGTCCATGCTCCGCCGACAACGTCCCCCTTCAGCATTCCACGAACCTGTAGCAGATATGTGCAGTCCCAGGCTGCCACAAGCCGACCTGGAAGGCTACCAATTTGTTCCCATGGTCAAACGACGTCAAACGATGATCAACGGGGATGAAAAGAAGTGAGAACAAAACGAAGGATCAAACTGGATCAAGCTGGAATGAATAGGCCCCTTCAATCGCACGAAACAGCTGCGCCGAATCATATCACAAGATCCGATCTGAACCTATATAACAATTCCACCACATCGCCTATACTAGTCATCCTATGTCCTCCGCACGCTATCTCATCATCATCATCATGCTCATCATCATCATCATCATCATCCCGTCAGCAACGGCAACAATGCTCCATGCATGCAGAATTGCTCTCCATCTTTAACCATTGCGCTGGTTCGCGCACTCATGTCAGCGGCTTCACGTGAACCCTTCAGATCTGTTCTGAAAGCCAAGCACTCTCCCCTATGGAATGGTCAGGCCCAACCCCCTATATGCATATAGTGTTGTTTAAAAGCAAACTTCTCCTATCATACTCCGTACCTGGGCACATCACCCTTTCAATCCACTGCTGAAGGCCAAATGTTTATCTCCTATGAAATGGCCAGGCCAAACCCCCTGTGTGAGCATATTATTGCCCAAACTCCTTTGTAACCTAATGCTGTACATTCATGTGAATTCTGCTTGGGGCATCTACCCCAAAATCTAGTTCTATTCTCCTAGTTCATGTTGATTCTAACCCTGCCGGCCCTACATCTGTAAATCTTCTCTTGGCTTTCAACATCTACAATGTCCTGGCCCATTGAGCTCCCTGCAAAGCCAATATTCCTTCTACTGTGTACGTATTGCGATCTCTTGTAGTACTTATCGTTCTCTTTTCATGGATCTTGTACATCTACTACCTCACACTGCTTCATCGTGTTTCCCTTTAGAGCGCCCCTCTGAAGCCACAATCTATCCCCTCTCCTGTGTGGCAATTTTCCTCTGGGGTTGGCCAGGGGTGGGACCCAAATCGGTGTTCATTTTGCACCCGAATTCGAGCCCAAATCATGGCCCCGCCCCTGGCCAACCCCAGAGGAAAATTGCCACCCCTGTGTTCCATCAAAGCTGCGCCAACTGCACAGATAAGCTTGCATCGACCACTAGGTGATCAAGTCCACTCGAGTTGCTAAAACTCAGAAGCGTGTCGCAACTTATATATCAACCGCCACATCGCTGGAGAATACAAGCTTGCAAGGTCCAAGCTCCCAGTTCAACCCCCTGTGTCTACATATACTCCTCCTCATGCGTCGAACATCCTTTTCAGGATCGCAACAACAATGCATGGCAATTTGATCGAACTTGAGAAGCATCAGTTCCGATGTAAGTGATCAAACCTTGCGATGACCAGTCGGGTCAGTCAGTCAATCAGTCAGTCATTGGTTCCCCTCAACCCATAGTACCAGTTGGGGCCTCTATTACCAGACTCTGTGCCCAGTGGGCACCCACCAACAATTCCACTTCTTCTATCCCCCTGGCAACCCCCTGTTGAAGCCAGTGTTTCCTCTATAAAATGGCCAGGTTCAACCCCCTTGTGTCTATATATACTTGTCCAAGCCAATGGTAGGCAAATATTTTGCAATATGTTCATTCATGGGGTAGCCACACCTAGCCCTATAGGTCTGACCCCCCCACCATATCCCACCATGATTCTAACATATTCTACGGTTACTACAAAAAAATATGCGGATTTCAAAATAGCCGAACAGGATCGAACAGGTATTTTAGTGTACCTCAATGAAGGATCTGCTGGGGCCGCCCAGCCATCAAAACATGCGGAATAGCACTTTTCCTAAATCATTTCACAAAATGGCCTTCACCGGCCCTACGTGGAGGCCTTGGCCGCTCCCACGTGGAGGCCTTCACAGGCCTTGGCCGGTCCCAAATGGAGCCGGTCCCACATCAGTGGGCGTGAGGGAAGCCCTTCCTGGGGGGGGTCTGCTGATCCGATGGTCCGATGATCCGATGGTCTGCTGATCCGATGGTCCGATGGTCCGATGGTCTGCTGATCCGATGGTCCGATGATCCGATATCGTGAGGGGCATCTGGCACATCTGCATCCTCCTCAGCGAGGGGTCCCTCACAGTGGGTGTGAGGGAAGCCCTTCGCGGGGGCGTCTGCTGATCCGATGGTCTGATGATCCGATGGTCTGCTGATTTGATGGTCCGATGATCCGATGGTCTGCTGATCCGATGGTCCGATGATCCGATGACCCGATGGTCCGATGATCCGATGGTCCGATGGTGAGGGGCGTCTGGCGCGTCTGCATCCTCCTCAGCGAGGGGTCCCTCAGGAGGCCTTCACCGGTCCTACGTGGAGACCTTGGCCGGTCCTACGTCGGCACTCCCTCTCCAGACACCTTCATGATGCTAATGATGCACTGCTCGGCCCCAAAATCAGGCTCTCACTCCCCACACCCCCTTTATTCACTTCGTTCACTCTAAGAACTCAAGCTAGATACCCCTGCCAACCCCCTGTTGAAGCTGTTCCCTCTATAAAATGGCCAGGTTCAACCCCGTGTGTATATATATATACTTGTCCAAGCCCCTGGTAGTCAAATATTGAGCTATACGTTCATTCATGGGGTAGCCACACCTAGCCCTACCCACCTGTAAATATTGTGTTGGTGGTTCAAGATCTACTGGTTCCATCTGTGCCCTTTCCCTTTTTCAATCTCTTCTGAATCCACCCAATTCACCCCCTATAAAATGACCTTG